TGTAGTACCCATTATATACCACAGGTACCCTGGTAGATGTAACACAGGAGAATGTAGTACACATTATATACTACAGGTACCCTGGTGGATGTAACACAGGAGGATGTAGTACACATTATATACTACAGGTACCCTGGTGGATGTAACACAGGAGGATGTAGTACACATTATATACTACAGGTACACTGGTGGATGTAACACAGGAGAATGTAGTACACAATATATACTACAGGTACCCTGGTGGATGTAACACAGGAGAATGTAGTACACATTATATACTACAGGTACACTGGTGAATGTAACACAGGAGAATGTAGTACACATTATATACTACAGGTACCCTGGTGGATGTAACACAGGAGGATGTAGTACACATTATATACTACAGGTACACTGGTGGATGTAACACAGGAGAATGTAGTACACATTATATACTACAGGTACACTGGTGAATGTAACACAGGAGAATGTAGTACACATTATATACTACAGGTACCCTGGTGGATGTAACACAGGAGGATGTAGTACACATTATATACTACAGGTACACTGGTGGATGTAACACAGGAGAATGTAGTACACATTATATACTACAGGTACACTGGTGAATGTAACACAGGAGAATGTAGTACACATTATATACTACAGGTACCCTGGTGGATGTAACACAGGAGGATGTAGTACACATTATATACTACAGGTACACTGGTGGATGTAACACAGGAGAATGTAGTACACAATATATACTACAGGTACCCTGGTGGATGTAACACAGGAGAATGTAGTACACATTATATACTTCAGGTACACTGGTGAATGTAACACAGGAGGTATATTGTGTAATTTTATTCTGTTATCATAAAACACCCAGGCAACCACACATCTCATAACACATGATATTGGTATAATTGGTCTTTATGGTAAAGTAATAATATAATATCATATTAATTGCTCTATCTGTTGTTACTTTCTTTGAATACATTTGTAACTGGTTTATATGGTGTAGTAAGATTGTACTCTCTATTTTATTGAAATATCCTTGGTATAATGGATTTTATTTTGTTATAAGATAGTACTATCTTGTTAATTGCTCTATCTACATGATCTATTGAAACATCCTTAGTATAATTACTTTTTATTGTGTAGTAAGATTGTACTATCTTGTTAAGTGCTCTATCTATTGAAACATACTTGCTATAACTGATTTTTATTGTGTTTTAAGACTGTACTTTCAAATTGCTATTCATTATTTCTATGAAGACTGGTTGATGTGTAAAAACATCTTTGGAAAGTAATGATTGTTATCCATGGTAATAGTCAATTTGACTTTGATAATTAGTGATGAATTGGTCTGTACCTGAGGTACAGTTGATGTGTACTTTAAAAAGACAAAGATGTCACATTTTTTTAAAGTCATTATGTTTTGAACTATGAAGAGTGGGATTAGTCTATACCTGAAGTACAGTATGATTATGATGGTATAACATAATATGCTTGTTGAATTGGTCTAACACTAAGGTTTACAATTGATGTTTACCTGGAGTGGATAAAGACTGCTGAAAGTTATGATAGTATAACCAGGGAATGATCATTACAGAGACTTTGAAAAGTAGCAAAGAGACAGCTCAAAGAAATTTTTGTAATAACAACTAACCACAAATTATATGCATATCTTTTATTTTATGGTGATACAATAGTGAATAAAAGATTTTAAAAAATTCATGGTGTATGGTGCGATGTACATACATGTAAATGAATAAATGTAAAATGTAACTACCTTGGAAATTGTACATACTGTATTCAATATATACAAAAATTTATTGAAATTTTAATATAAATTTTAATATAAATTGATTAGGATTATATTGGTAATGTCATAAATGTTATAAGATAAGGAGTATATACATGTAAATGAATAAATGTAAAAAGTGATAGCCTTTAAAAATTTACATCAAATAAAAAGTTAGATTTTATAAATAAAATATTTGTAAAAAAAAATAACAAATCATTCAAATTGGTAACATATTTAGCAAGAAGACACAGTTCAAGCATTACATTGAGAAACTCATTTTCAAATCAAAAAAATTATTTCACCCGTATTATACTGATTAAAAAAAGCAGTGACTGTTTTACAAATAAATTATTTGAGTGTGTAATTACTCTTTATTAAAAGCATGTCTGTTTGCTGTTTTTATAGGTGATTCAATAATTTTGTTATAAAGCATCAATTTTTTTAATCATTTCTAGTCTTTGCTACACAATCATCTATATATGTAGAAATCTAGAATTGATTTCATTGTCCATCTCAGAAACTAGCATTTGTTTTCATCCTTGCATTAAAAAAAACTTTTTTTTAAATTCTAAACAATAACTTAGATCCCCACTTAATATCCATCAAAAGAATTGATGACCACAGGATTATTGAATCATAGCACAATTTATTTTCATCCTAAAAATTTGATTGATTGATTTATTGATTGATTTATAAATTATGTTTTTCATTTCGGGGCCTTTTATAGCTGAATATGCGGTATGGGCTTTTCTCATTATTGAAGGCCATACAGTGACCTATAGTTGTTGATTTCTGTGTTGTGTGGTCTCTTGTGGAGAGTTGTGTCATTGGCAATCACACCACTTCTTTTTTTTTAATTTTTACCATTATTTGTTTCCAAATATCACAGAAATCCAAAGAAAATCTGTAAAAACATTAATAGAAGCCATTGAAAATATTGAAAGATGTTAAGGCAATCTTGACTTATTGTTTGACAGAGGAGCAGAGGAGTGCTGGAAGACAGACACAAGAATAACTATAGTGCTTCACTGACTAGTCAGTGTGGATCTAAGACCTAATGTTCCGATATATTAAATATGTCCAAGTGAAATATTTGATCGGCACTTATTTTTAAAAATTGTCTGAGCCATTGCTGCTATTTACCTTTGATAAAAATCTGGCAAAACTTGTACATGCGAGAGCACTTACAATGCAATTTTCTACATAATCAATGTTTCCAAGGGGCATAACTCTTTTAAAAATAATTGATCAGCACTGATTTTTGTACTCATTAACGACATTTCTGATATTAACCTATGATATAAGTTTCATAAAATTCTGGCAAGAATTGTACTTAAAACTGCTAACAATGCAATTTTTCCAAATTATTAATGTTTCCAAGGGGCATAACTCTCTTAAAAATAATTGATAGGTACTGATTTTCAAACTCGTCCAAGACATAGCTAATATTAATCTATGATATAAGTTTTATAAAAATCTGGCAAGAATTGTACAAATAAGAGCACTAACGATGCATTTTTTAATATAATTAATGTTTCCAAGGGGACATAACTCTTTTAAAAATAATTGATCGGCACTTATTATCGAACTTGTCCAAGACATTCCTAATATAAACCTATGATATAAGTTTCATAAAAATCTAACAAGAATTGAACAAATGAGAGCGCTAACAAGTAGTTATTTAAAGATTTTTTCCTATATTTACATTTTATATTTGCATATACATGATATACACAAAATGTATATTTAAATATTTAGTATAGACCATTCTCCATTGTTAAAGAAACAATATGACTAATCCAGCCATTTGAGTCTTTGATCTATTTTTTAGTGAAATAATAATTATTTACTATTGACTTTCTACCTCATCCATCCTTTTGTTGTCTGTTTTTATTGTACTTATAATTTTCAATTGCCACCTTGGTATCTTCTCTCTCTCTCTCTCTCTCTCTTTGATAGAAATTTAGTAGGAACACAAAATTACAATAAGGGCCAAAATCACTTATCCAAAAGGTTGGTGACTGTCTTGTAATGTTTTTAATAAGTTTGTACAATGACATTTTTAGCTCACCTGGCTCAAAGGGCCAAGTGAGCTTTTCTCATCACTTCCATTGACGTCCGTCGTCCTTCGTTGTTAACTTTTACAACAATCTTCTCCTCTGAAACTACAGGGCTAAATTTAACCAAACTTGACCACAATCATTATTGGGGTATCTTGTTTAAAAAATGTGTCTGATGACGCGGCTCGCCAACCAATATGGCCAGCATGGCTAAAAATACAACATAGGGGTAAAATGCAAGTTTTGTCTATTATTTTGAAAACTGTTATAAATAGAGAAATTTTCAGAATGTTGAGCTCTACCAATTGTTCTTTGGCGTCAAAACGGTCAGGCCATATTGGAAGGTGCATAACCTCAAGGTTTGTTAACTCTCTGATAAATTCTAAAGAATAAGGTGAAATGCAAAAATTGTTACCATCTTTTAATTTGAAATTTTTTCTAAAAAAGTCACTAAGTTCCCAAGTATGGAAAAATGGGAGAGAAATAAATTAAATTTGAAAATTAAAAAAATTAAATAAATAACAAAAAAATTTATACACGTTGTTTGAGTCTTTGTTCTTCATAAATATACACATATTTTGATTTTCTTTTTGCCAAAAAATGATATACTTGTAGATTTATGTTCAAATAAAAATTGTGTCAAGGTGAGGAAATTACTCAAGATGGCGTCGATAGTTTAGACAGGTGTTACGACCTATTGATTAAGGTCACTAATCGCTAATTGACATTACCTCTACCTTGTCAATTTACAAGCGTTTGAAGTACCGCTTTGTAGGATACAAACCTTGTTATATGATGAACTAGTAAATCCCCAAAAAAGCAAAATTTCCTTACAAGTCAATAGCCATTTAGTTTTAAATTCATTTAGCATTCTTCATGTAATGTATGATCAGTATTTATATACAGAGGTATGCTGAACTGAAAATTTTGAAATCATTCAAGGGCAATAACTCTATTAGATGTCATCTGATAACTCTGGTAGGGGTGGAGTTCTGGCAGCTGCCATTTGAGTCCAGCCTGTTACTTTTTTGTCCTAAGACCTAGGCTCTAGATCTTTGGTATGTAGGTAGGTCACTTCAATGTGTCCGGTACCCAGGATGTTGACCTCTGACCTTGTTCCTTGACTTCAACAACAAGAAATAGGTCATTTTCTAGACCAGCCTGTAACTTTTTTGTCTTAAGAGCTAGGCTTTGGAAATTTGGTGTAAAGATAAGTTTTCTTAGGACAATGAGTCATTTGTATCAAGGATGCTGACCTTGACCCTTGACCTCAAGGTTAATTTGTAATTTTTTTGTCTTAAGACCTAGGCTTACAATCTTTGGTGTGTAGGGCGGTTACTTAAAGACGATGTGTCCTGTACCAAGAATGTTGACCTTGAACTCAAGGTCAATAAATAGGTCATTTTTATAACTTTATTGCCTAAAGAGCTAGGCCTCCAAAATTTTGTGTGTAAGTAGAATACTTCAAAAATTTGTGTTGTGTACCAAGTATGTTGACCTAGACCCTTAACCTCATATTTAAAAAATAGGTAATTTTTGTAACTTAGATCATCATCCTTGATAAAACAGAAATTAAGTTAATAAGTGCTAATTTTTCTGTTTTATTTAAATGAGATGCATGACATGTATTAAATACATTTAGTTTTGAAAAGTACTGAAATGAACTTTTTACTGGATGATTAAATATATACTTATTATCCTTGCTGATGTTATGTCCTCAAGCTTTAACAGACCTTCCATAAAAATATTGGAAATAAAGGAAGAAACAGGTATAAGGGAAGAATTCATATATACATGTATTAAGATTCATAAATTTGAAATCCTTCATAAATTTTTTTTGAAAAGCTTACTTAAAATGAGTTTCTTATTTTCTTTGTAAGCAAGATCTTTTTAATTCAATACCTGCTTCCTACAAAGTTTAGTTTAAACATATTTTATTGTCAAAATAACAACAAAAGGATCAGACACAAGTTTTTCAACATAGAACGTCTTCTCCATTATATACAAATAATAAATATCAAGACAATATCAAATAAACATATATGATACTATACAATATATTATTATAGAGACATGAAATGAACAAGTGTGAGGATTTTAAGTTAGATATCGAGTTGTCCCTTTGATATGTATATCTAAATACCAATGAAGAAGTACTGATATAAAACAGGATTGAGAAAAATATAACAATGGTCTTTTACAGGTAATCTAATTTGATATAAAGTTACATTGCTACATAAGTATGTTCTATGCATATCAGTCATTTACTTAGTATTATGCACAAATTTCAAAAGTGATCTGTATCTCATGGTATAAATAAACCTTTGGCAGATCTAAAGAAATCTCATTTCCAAGTTTTTAAAAACTCAAAATTTTCTATATGATCAGTTGACAAAGGGGCTTCACCCTGGAACAAACAAAAATCTGGTTACATCCACATTCAAACTTGATCTGTACCTTATGGTCATAAAGGTTTGTAGCAAGTTGAAGAAAATGTGTTAATTTATATTATTATACTTCATGTCAAAATGCCAGATTTTGATTTGTTAATACGAGTGAGACAATTTACTCTATTCTATGGTAAATACTCTATTACCCTTCACAGAGACGCTTGATTAAGTGTGCGCTTTATTAAATACGATTCTATCCTATGGCAAATACTCTATTAACCTTCACGGAGACGCTTGATCAAATGTGCGCTTTATTAATAAACGGATGATTGTTATGTACAAGACGTCATAGTTTATTACTTTGAATTTGAAATTTAATCGACAGTAATAACAGAACATTCAGTATAATAAATTAGATAACACATAGCTTCGCCTCAGTTGACAATGTTTTCTTGGGGTAACAATCTGCTCTATCACCCTCTCAGCTATGTGTTATTTATATATTGTCTGGAAACCTCAAATGGACTGACATACAGGTGGATCAAAGACAATATTATCCCTTTGCAAAAAAGTTGAATAGGATATAATTATACTTCTTAACTAAGTTTAATGTTTGACAAAAATGTTTGAGGAGGTAACTAATACAAACAAATACCTAATTCATTATTTCCTGTGACATACAATCAAGTAAAGTTGACATTCCAAGAAAGGTTTTGACAAGTTCTTTTCTTCCCTCAGTAGAAAGCATATTAACTGCATTGCTGTACTTTATTGTAGCATGACAATTCTTCATTTTCCCTTCACTAAGGTTATTACAATATTCTTGACTTGTTGCCAGGGATACAAATGTGATCTGCAAATAAACAGGATACACTTGATCAGATGGTAGAGATTTCGTCTGTCATTTGTTATGTGCACTTTGTACTGATTATCAGTTTTCCAACTTTTAATACTACCTTCTTAAATAGCTCCAGAAGAACATGCTGTATTGTGAAATATGTCAGGTTGAATATATAAACAGAATAAAAATAAAATACTTCTGTTTGACCTCATACACAAAAGAGAACCCAGACATAAAATCTTGTCAACTCAACAAAGGCTCTAATGTGCCTGTATTGCTCACTTTGCAAACTAATTGGCACCAAATGGATCAATCCTGTAAAAGAATTTCAGTCTATGCAACAATTCATTCCTACAAAATTTTCATAAAAAATGATCTAGCAGTTTGATTTCCACCAAAAAAAGGAACTATAGAAGGGACCTTCTAAGAATCATTCCCAGGGTTGTATATAGAAATTTATGAAAGTAAAAGTTTCATTCCATTTCATTTTAAACAGGTCGGGAACTCTAGATTTCCCGACGTCAGAATATATTTGCATAGTAATTTCCCAAATAGAAGCTAAACATGGCCTTGAAACATGTAAAAAACTGACCAATCGACTCAATGAACTACAATGCATTGTGGACTACTACGAGTTCACTACCACTTAAAAAGCTGTGGAATTAGTGGGAAAACTGTCAACTAATATAGTGTCTGGGACTCTCATAATAAATGTTTTTGTTCAGCCAATGTGTTTAATGTAAAATATATAACATAATCTTCAATTTGCATGCTCAGATTGAAAAAAAATATTCTTAACTGGCTTCACGATTCAACTTTCTGTTTCACCTTGTAAAAGTAGTTGAACAGGTTTTGTCCATTGTTATTCATTGTACTTGTGCATTAATTCACGGCATGAAACAGTGAAATTTCCAAAATCATTTGATCTCTTTTAAACCTGTATAATGCCATCCCAAAAACATTACTGTTTCTAAAAACACAAAGAACATAGCACTGAAACACTGCGGCTTAATTTCAAGCATGTTCCCGATGTGGCGTTACAGGCTGCCCGGCAATATGGATGTAACGACAGACCCAGACTTATCTGCACTGGATGTGTAAACTTTTTATCAGGACCTGATCTAAAAGTAAGTACATCATAATATTCAGTATTCTCAAAAAAATGTGTTATAAAAAGCGGGGAAGGTAAATAGCTTAACATATTTTGAATACCTTTGTCCATCCATGAAGTCTGTCTGTTGCTAATTTTATCCCAAAATATAAGATTGAGGTATTTTTATCGTTTAGCTGCTGTCCTATTGACTTATGTGCAATATCTTCAATTATTTAAATCCTCCGAATCCTAGTGGGTGCCATATGGCCAATTTAGGTTTTCTAAAACGTGCTTTGTATATAGAAATAAGAAGATGAGGTATGAGTGCCAAATGAGACATCTCTCAATCCAAGACACACAAAACATGTTTAAACCCGCCGCATTTTTGCGCCTGTCCCAAGTCAGGAGCCTCTTGCCTTTGTTAGTCTTGTATGTTTTATAATTTTAGTTCATTTATATGTTTTGGAGTTTAGTATGACGTCCATTTTCACTGAACTAGTACACAATTTTATTTAGGGGCCAGCTGAGGACCACCTTCCGGGTGCATGATTTTCTTGCTGCGTTGAAGACCCATTGGTGGCCTTCGGCTGTTGTCTGCTCTTTGGTCCGGTTGTTGTCTCTTTGACATATTCCCCATTTCCATTCTCAATTTTAGTAAAGTAAGCAATCACAGGTTACAGGACGACCTTCAACGCTGAAAAGTAAGCTATAAAGGGACCAAAAATGACTAGTGTAAAACAATTCAAACAAAAAAAAAAAACAACGGCCTAAATTATATACAAAACGAGAAGAGAAAGTATCCAATAAATGAGAGAAATATAATAGGTTTAGATCCAACGCTGCAATTTTCACAAAACATATCAAAGTTCACGTCCTTGTTGCACATAAACATGATAAACATGGGCAGCATCATAAATGATTTTATTAAGATTGGCAAATATCGAGTCCGTTAAAAATATCAAAAATTCCAATATCTAAGTTAGAAGAAAACAAACTTTGCAAAGACGATAACAAAACAAAACTACAGCTGCTTGCAATGATTGAGGAAAATGTTGCTTCATTACCTTCAGAAAAAATGGAACAGTTTGAAATAGAAAAAAATTCCAAAAAAACTGAAATATGCCAAAAAATCAATACTTTTAGAATTTGTTAACATTGTCAGACAAGAATTAAGAAATGTTTTGAGCAGTTTTGATGAACCATGTTAGATGATATAGGCTTTATACATGTTCTGTACCTGTCAAAGTCTATGACATGATGCATTGTTACTCATTTAGTGGATTGGTCAAAAACCCAGGTAAAAGAAATTGCATCATACGTAAATAAACAATTACTTGTGCAAGGACATACGTATGCTAATTTATGCATATCCATATAAGGTAGTGTTTTTGACCTGTTAAACTGTAGGCAATTTTGAGTTCACAAACTTTCCCATATATAGAAATTGCCAAGTCCATGTTATAGTAAAGAAAACTGTAAAAATTGATTGGATAAAAAAAAATGTAAGACTTGCACAACTACACCTTGTATACATCAATTCTGTAAAGTTTCATTATGATCCCCTACTTATGAGCTGTGTCCTATACAGTGAATTTCTTGAGATGGTGAGGACACAATCATAAAGACTCAGACAAGGATACACTCTGTCTAAACTGTTGTCATCATTAAGGAAGTTTTACTGCCGCCATCACTAGATGGTGGTTTGTTTTCCAGTAAGTGTGTCTCAAAAGATCTTAGACCTTTTTTCTTGAGTGCTTCTTGTTCTTTTACCAATTAGGACACTAACCTAATTTGACATTTTACCAGCTTTGACCATTGGGCAAGACAAAGGGTGTTGCGTGCAAAACAGGATGTGCGTAACCCTTCTGGAGCACCTGATATCACTCCTACTAGCACATGAAAAATCCACTCAGCATGTCGGTCTAGTACCAAGCAAGGGTCATTTATCACTCATCAACATACTGTGGTTATGAATATGCATATAAATTTGCTGTTGGATGTTTAGTCACTCAGTCACTTATTAATCCATGTGTTCTAATTCAACTAATAATACAAATGTATAACAATTCTAGTTCCTTTGTGAATTTGGGTTTCTTTTGTTATTATATCCTACAGTTAAAATTTCAATGAATTTATAAATTGGTTTTAAGGGTATTCTATTGCTTGCTGGGATGCTTACCAAATTTTCCTGCAGTTGAAATGACAAGATTAAGTGTGAGCAAATGCTCACAAAGCATACCCCCAAAAAATATCAATAAACAAAGTCAGAAAACAAGAAATACATGGGTGACATATCTGAATTTGTGAAACTTAATACAGTATTGCATACTGAAGCTTGCTATCAAATATAAAGCTGCTGTGATACAACAAAATTTGATAAACTGACAGATGTACATAGTAAACCGTATGATTATATACATTTAAAATCAAATACATGATATACAAAAATTTTGGTTCCTTGTCTAGGAGTTTAGTTTGGGCCAGTGGCATTAATTTTTCTGAACTTTATAGTGCATTTTAAGGGGCAAGCTACAGTCTGGGACCATGTGTGGGGCCTTCCACCGTTCATAGAAGACACATCAGTGGCCTTGGGTTTTTTGTTTCCTATTTTTGGTCCAGATGTTGTCTATTTGACATTTTCCTTATTTTCATTCTTTATGATAAGAATCCCTACCATTGTTCCCTGTACTATGATTCCATATATTCCATTAGAACCAAATACAGATGAAGGAATAACTGCTAGCATTTCTCCAGCATGCTGGCCTTTTAGTCCAGAATCAATATGCTTAATAACTGATGTCTTCATTTCAGAATTTCTGGTCTGCCTCACAATTTCCAGATTTGAGTGTCTGGTGTAGTCTTTCTTTACCTTTCAAATATATGAATATAGCATAAATACATCTAAAATGCCAGATATAAATAAATTCTCACAACAAAATGCATCATGAAATAGAATCTGATACAATTCACATGTAGTTAAGAAATTACAATGCAGAGAAGTTGTAAATAATTCTTACTTTTACTTTGAACAATGTTGAAGTAAATTATTGAAGAATATCATGTTGTACATATAATTTTTATTTTGTTTATTTCTCTATTCAAGCATAGCCACTCCATAAAATAGAATAGAGACCTGAACAAACAAAGTCCAGAGCTCCAGATAAGAATCGATCTATTGAGTAAATTTCATCTGTGATTATCATTTCTATTAGGAGCCTTCCATGCATCATTCTTCACAAGTTTAGTTTAAACTTATTGAATTTATGAAAAGGTGTACATTACCCATTGGCATTGTTTTCGGGATTATTTGAGTTTTCAACATATATTTTAGGTTTTTAAAAGCAAGCATTTTTGGATCAATTGGGTTTTCAGTTAATTCAATTGAGTAATTATCCAAAAACCCAGCTTATCTGGAGTCTGTCAATTTTGTCTTAACATCATACATGTGTCATATGCTACTTACATTGTACATGTACCTCTACAACAGATTAAGTCAGAAGTCAGATTAACATGGTATCATATGCAACATTATTTACCTCTACAACAGCAATAACTTTCTCCTCTACTTCTTCTCCATTCCTAACAAAGCTACAAACAACAGCATCAGGTATTGAAGTTACTATCCTGTCCCCAATTGTCAGATGATAAGCAGGCAGATTTGGAACATCTCTTTAAATTGAAAATGTAGATACAATGTATATAGTCTTTCAATAAAGAATAATATTATCACTAGGGAAAGTGGACTTAGGTGCTGAAGGTGACATTGCTAAGATTTTTAACTCCTTGTATTTTTTAAAGTATTGCAAAATATGTTGCTCCACTTGGGTGTATATTTTATGATTGATCATACCCCTAAATAAAGTTGAAAAATGACTTTCATGACTTTTGAAAATAAACTGCTTCGCTGAGCGCAGCTGGATACGCCCGCAGAGGTCTAACCCTGAACAGTTGGGGCAAAAATGGACACAATATTCAAGCTTGATACAGGTCTGAATTTTGATTGTAATTAAATATTTGACATACATCTATTATAGGTTTCTGAATAAATGTAGTCAAAGAACTTGAAGTTGGTTATATGAATTGAATTTATAGTCAAATTAAAGATTTCTTGCTGTTGTGCAATACACTGTGCTGTTGCGCAATACTTAGTAAATCTGTTGTCAGACTATAAACAAATAAAATTTATAAAATTCTAAAGGGAGCTTACATCAATAGATATCAACAATTCATCAAAGTTTCATGAGAACTGCTGAAAGCATTTTTGAGTTATTGTTGAAAACTGGAAAATCCCCCTTTTTTTATGAATGAAACCCCATAACTTGGAAACGTAAAATCTAAAATTTATAAAAATCCAAAGGGAGCTCATGTCAATAGATATAAACAATTAACCAAAATTTCTTGCAAGTTGGTGAAAGCATTCTTGAGTTATTGTCCGAAAACTGGAAAATCCCCCTTTTTTTAATAAATAAAACCCCATAACTTGGAAACGTAAAATCTAAAATTTATAAAAAACGAAAGGGAGCTCACGTCAATAGATATAAACAATTCACCAAAGTTTTAAGCAAATTGGTTAAAGCGTTTTTGAGTTAATGTCCGACATGTTGACGACGGACGGACGGACAGACGGACAGACAGACTACGTACAACGGTATACCATAATACGTCCCGTAAACGGGCATATAAAAAAATGAAAAGACCTAGGTAACTTGTGTCATGAAATAATAAAAGTTGTAGGTAACTAATTTTTTTACCGTATATAACTTTTAAGCTGCTATAATTAAAGACAGTATTTGATCCGGTTTTTTTTTCTTTATACATCACTGTTACACAAGTCTTTCAATGTTCATACATTGTTTTTAATCGGAAATGTAGTAGATGAGATATCATTATCCCCCAGTGGTTTCACTCAATTTCATGAAGAAATCATGCATGCCATTCTCTAATGCTGTTTCATCATTGGTCAGCATTATATATTCGCAAAATATAAATGTTTTAGTGTTAGCTACTTCTAAAATATAGCGAATAAATATTTGCTAAAAAAAAATTCAGAACTTTGAAAACTTGTCTATTGACACGAGAAAATGCTGTGCAAAATCACACTGGTATATTGGTGCAACTCCTCTGGATATATAAAACTATCGGACCTTCGGACTGTCAGGCCATTGTACTATCGTACCTTAAGAATATCAAACCCTCGAAATATCTGGCCTCCAGACTATAGGGCAGTCACCCTTTTGCTTATCTAAGCAATGTTTTGGAATTATTTATCTGATGACAAATAAAAAAGCAAAGATTTGTAAAATTTTCAAACTTTTTATAGCCAATGCTACCTTCAACTTTGACCTATTGACCTCATATGTAATACAATTTTCTAAATCCATGCATAAAGCAGACTTGGTTTGGCAAATAAGAGGTGAATCTATACCTGTATCTGACAGTCATGTATATACATTTTTTGGAATTGAATTAAAAAGCAAATTTTCATTGGTGTCAAGAACAAATAGTGTTTGCAGGAAAGGAAGAAAGTATTTTGGTATTTCAAACATTAGAAATGAACACACTAATTATATATATAATCCTCTTGTGTTAATAAGACTTTACAAATCCTTTATTATGCCTACCGTTCTTTATGGCTGTGAACTATGGTGCGAAATTGAAGTCTCAGGATCTGAATTTACTGAATAGATTTCAACATTTTGTAGTAAAACAGGCACAGGGGTTTAATACAAATACTAGATCAGACATTTGCAAAAGTATGGTTGGCCTACATAATATTGTGTCAGAAATAGAGAAACGTAATCTGTAGTTTTTTTGGAAAACTGTTTTCATTAGAACAGTATCATTTACCAAAACAAATGTTCTTAGAGACTGTACACATGTTGGTCAAGCAAGAGGACTCATCTTGGATTTATTCCCAACCTTTTAAACATTCTTAGAAAGTACGACCTTGTTGAATTCTTCGACAATTTCATATCTGATGGTCTATTTCCTAGTAAATTGCACTGGAAGCGAATTGTATCTAATGCTGTTAACTCTTCACATGATAGAGACAGCTGGCTAGCAAGAATTAACGCTTTAAAAGACTTTAATCCCTTTAAAGATATTCACAATATATCAAAAGTAAAAATTTGACATTTCCAAAAACATTAGCAGAACTTAGGACTGCAATATTAATAGCTAAACTTATTTCAACTGTGCCGAAAAATGAAGTTTTTAACTGTCAACTATATCTAAGACAATTTTCAGATGTCTCTGTACATGTCACTTCTAACTGTACAGCCACAGTAGACAACCCTAATATATGGTGGGATATGCTAATAGAAAATTTTTCCGTTACAGTTGTATGTGGAACTAGGTGAATACGATGATGAAACACTGTTTCGCATCATGCTGAGTAAAGAACCTCAAACAATTATAAGCGGATGTGACATAGCTTCATTTCAGCATATATATATGCTACATACACATCATGCACATTGCGAAGTCTTAATACAATAGAATACAATAGACAGCTGAACATGTAATAGAGGTTCATGCCTCGACTCATATTTGATATTTTGTAAATTATTTTGTTATGTATAATTAGGCCGTTAGTTTTTTCGTTTGAATTGATCCTCACATTTTTCACGTCGGGCCTTTTATAGACGACTTTTAATACAGTATCGGGTTTTGTCATTGTTGAAGGCCTTAATTACGGTTGCCTATAATTTCTTACATCCACTTCATATTTGAACTCCGGTGGATAGTTGCCTCATTAGCAATCATACATCTCTTCGTTTTTATATTACATACCCGACTTTTAAACTCGTGTTTTCCTGAACCGAGTCCTGAACAGGCATGACATATTTGTCACTGGGCGTTAAAAATTAGCAACAAACAATCAATCAATTTAAACTTGTGTTAAATAAGAAGAAAAACCATTTGATATTTATTCATTTATTGAGGTGGGGGACAGGAGGATTTCATATATGAATATGGTTGCCTGGTAAGAGCTGAAAAATAGGCATAATTAGCGACAGATTAAAAAAGTTAATAATGCCCTCTTCCCTTCCCCATCCTTCATCTATAAATTTAAACTGACCACCACGGAATAGCCAAACTTAGTGTTGAAAGTAGCGTTTAACACCAATCAATCAAAATCCCTTCCCTAGAATATCAAATAGTCGTCCCTGAACTGTTATTGTCCGTGTAGTTCTTATATTTATCCAGCTTATCGTCATACAGGGATGTCCTACTAAGACTGTCATACCATGAAAACGTTTATAACACAGCTCTCATTCTAATATATCTGCATTCCTAAATTTATTAATGTCATTTAGACTAAACGACGCCATGTTTGTTACGTGCTTCTGCCGTCTAAACTACCTATCAAAAAAGAAGAGGTGGAAGAGAGCCAGAAGATCTTCCCTATTCAAAAAAACAGAAGTGGACCTCTTCTGGATCACTACCGAAGAACAAAAAAACACGCCCCTAGACTCAGATATGAACAGGAGTCTTATTGATTTGACACCATCAGGGGAGGTTCAAATGCGAGTTAATAGGGAAAAGGATGGTGAATTCACTACGCCACGATCTCAAGCGAGTGCTTCTGAAAAGTCAATGCAGACTTCAACAGAAAGTATAGATATACTTAAACTTAATCAAGAGCTAAATGAAATAAGGGAGAGGGAAAGCATGTTAATGGGTTTATTGTAGAGTCATTCAAGCGACGAGTGTCGCAAATCACGGGAATCCTATGGAGGGGGAGATAGTTTTTGTAATAAGGTTTTCCCTGGTCTTCTAAATGACAGGGGGCGGCAACAGGCAGATCTCTGCGGTCTAAGTAGTGACCAGTGCTATGTGCCCAGCACTAACTCTTTATGACAAGCACCTCCCAACATAAATAATGAGGGGTGCTGTACTGTCCGAGTGGACAGAAACGGGTGTATAGACACCATGCCTCCTCCTGTAAGGACTACCAATGCAGTAGCAGGGAATGGAAGTTATAGTGAAAACTCCCATCCAACTTTTAATATAAATGATAACTCAGTCAGTAATTGTGTATCTCAAATAACTGAACCTTCAGTCCATTTCAAAAATAAGAAAACAATTACTTTTGACGGAACAGGTAGTTGGCAAGACTTTATAGTACAATTTGAACTAATATCTACTGTGAATAAGTGGGATAATCATATGAAAGCTTTTGAACTTGCAACTAGTTTACATGGAGTTGCACAAGGAATAGTGACCGATATTGAGCCTACTAAAAGGTTAAATTATGACTATCTTGTATCTGCTTTGACATCTTGTTTTGAGCCTGCAAATCAGGTAGATATGTACAAAGTACAAATGAATTCTATTTATAGAAAGCCTGGTCAAACATTGCCAGAAATGGCACAAGAAATTCGTAAGGTAACTAGACAAGCTTATCCGACTGCACCTATTGAAATTAGGGATCAATTAGCCAAAAACTGTTTTGTTCGTGCAATTTATGATCCAAAAATACAATTATCAATATTTCAAAGAGAACCAAAAACAATCGATGATTGTGTACGTACGGTTTGGTCTTGAATATGAAGCTTTCACTGTTGATCAAAAGAGATTAAATAATGCAAACCCCGGAAACACGTATGTTGTCCGAAAATGATAATTCTACCGAACATGATGTAGTTACTCGCTAAAACGATACAAATAAAAATATAACTC